AGTGACATTCATGACCACAGTGCACACGTCTATGATTAGTCAGGAGCTAAAATGTGATGCAGCAGAGTAAGTGGAGGTAAAATGAATGGTTCAAAGACATAATCGTAATCGTGGCTCCAAACAGGAACTATCGGGACGAGAAATGTGGAGCAGGAGAACTCCTTTTCCACCAAACTGACTCTGGTTCTTGAACTGGTTCCATTCAAGATTCAACAACAGTCAACAATAAATAAACCTGCCCACCAAGTGAACTGTCTGTAGCTGAATAGAGTCAGCCTACACTACTACGCGTGCAAAAAGTTTGATCTACGTACAGTGTCGTCTGTACGTACAGGAGCCGGGTGGTAAGCGGGTGTGTAACAGCAGCTCGTTCACTCCCACCTGTGTGTTTACGAGACTTTTGGGAAAATATTCCTGCACAGAAACACTGAGCAGAGTTCAGGTAGAAAACAGAGACATCACAGCCTAAAGACATGCATTCAAAAACTGAGCTTCTAGAAAGTTAAATGGACTATGTGTCGATGCAATCAGCTGCTCAAGTCAGACAGGTGTCTCTGTAAAGACCTGGGCTATTAACTCCTCTACCTGCAAATACCTCACACTGTGCCATTGCTAATAATGCTAAAAAAAAAAAAAGACAAAAAACCCTCCCAGAAACAAGCAGTGAAAGCAAAAGGGATCATATGCATGGCCAACCTCGATTGCATGTGAGGATTGGTAATTGCACCCCCAGAGGCATCTGGGTGTGCAGAGCAGTAAAGTGGGAGACGCCTGAACAGCTCGGGCTTCACAGTCAGTGTACCAACATCTCAACCTTGAGGAGGAAGTGAAAACAAGAAGGCAGAGGAGCGGAGGGTGAGGGATATACAGACAGTTCATTTACCCAGAACATCAGCCCACCGCGCATTGTCTGAAAGATAAGGAAAGTGAATGCTTCATGCCTGATGGAAAACAAAGGCAGCAATTTAAAACCATCTGCATCCAACACATGCACTCTCTCCCTCCACCTCTCTGTTTCTGTGTCCTGCCTGATATTGAAACATAATCCATTTGGAGCGCCGACATGTCATAATATTTCTATCCCTCCCCCCCATTCAGGACAATTTCAGGTGGTTGCAGGTTGGAATGTTTTATTGCAACAAGTCAGACAGTCGGCTGAAAACTGGAGTCTTTACTCTGATTCTGTTCAGGAAAAAATAAATATATATTTATATATAGAGAGGGAGAGATGGAGCAACACGAAGAAAAGGACTTCTAGTTCACTTCAAATCCCTCTTAAGGAGACCTCAGCGGCTCCTGTTGGCCTCTGTAGGTTCAGAAAATAACAATAAAGCACAAAATCCAGAGATCAAAACTCTTATATACTGTACAGGAGTCCAGAAACATCATACACCGCAAAGGCTTTGGTGTGAATCCTCAAACTGCTATATACCGCTCTTAGATCTCCACTAAGTAAAGAAAAGAAAAAGAAAATGTTGCTTGTCCACTCCTCTTTGAACAAAAAGAGTTTGATTCTGTATTTTTAACTCCGACTGGATGGCTTTGAACTGCCAGAAACTTTCACTTAGTACACGTTTACTTAATGTACTAAATGATGATACTTTTATTTACTGATTTAATGTTTGATTTATGAGTGTACAGCCTGATCTAGTTTGGAATAATATGTATACAAATACACAGAACTCAATTATAGTGGGCCCCCCCCCCAACTTAAAATCTAGTTTTAATGCCTTTATTTCACTTTATATTGTGCTAACACGGCGGATAATCCTATATATTAACTTCTTTTTAATAGACTATTACCAGAACTACCAAACAAATCAAACTAATGGCGGTCCCTGGAGCCTTTGGGCCCCCTGATTGTCTGCATAAGTTACTCAACAGAAACCTTTGAGACATTTCATCAAAAGTCACCGAGCACATGAAGAAAAGGGTGGAAGATCTTTCACTTTAAGGTCCAGTGTGTAGGATTTAGTGGCTTCTAGCTGTGTTGCAACTTCCTCACTTCATCCTCCCTTTGTAAGTGCAAAGGAGAAACTACGGTGGCCATGAAATGCATCAAAAATAGAATGTTAAAGTAACAAAAACACAACAACTCTTATTTTCAGTCGATTATATTCTTATAAAAACATAAATATGTATATATATATATAATATTTCTACCAATTGATCTTCCTAAATCTTACACCACAATGTAAAAAATATTCGGTTACAAGTAAAGTCATGCATTTAAAATCCAACTTTAAATAGTGTAATACTAATACAGCAAAAAGTACTTAAAGTATCAAAAGTACTCTGTTATTACTGCTGTAGCTGCTGTGGCTTTAACTATATGATTAATGTGGAAGGAAAGAGGAAAAACAAAGTTCTCATACATGCATTTGTTTTCAGTTTTTGGATAATTCTTCTGTCTTTATGTGAGAGTTTTACCTCTTTTGGCCTCCAGAAATAAACAAATATAAAGAGGGGAAACTAGAAACTGCTGCCTCAAACACAGGAACCACTAGTTTAATCTTTAACCATGCATCAAACGTTTCTTTATGTAAAATCTTAATCTGTGAAGGTATAAAGTAGCATTAATACTCCACTAATATACCACAAACTTGTAGTTAAGTACAGTGTTGGAGTAAAAGTAGCCGACTTAGTTACTTCCTGGTTATTATTTGGGTATTCCTGGTCAAATATTGTCAAAATGTATAAAATATTATAAAGTTAATCTGAAGTAAACGTGTGATTTTGGGGATTTATGAATAAAACTTTGCTGAATCAACAATTAGAATGTATAAAAAGTGCCAAATAGAGTTTAATTAACTAACTAATTGGTCACTAATAGGCCTCTTTTCTCATTCACATTCTAGAAAAAGGTGTTATTAATAACATTATTCTTATTATTTACACCTGTTCTTTTAGAAAAAATGCCTATTGAATTAATAGTGTTGTATACAGGTCATAAACTGTAGATTGAGGATATGTTTGATGAGTTCTTGATTGATAAAGTGTCTTCTTTACTAATGTTTGTTCTACAAATGAATGCATAAAGTGTAAAGAGCTTCTACGAAACAGAGCTTCCAGGAACAGGACGCTACTTCCTTGTATAAATAAGTTGTTAAATGTAAGATACTGTAAAACTTGTACACAATTTTGTGCACAAATAAGGACGAAACTTTGCCTCCAAGAATGATTGATAAAAAGCTCAAACCCTGACATTTACTCTATAATCCTGCGTAAGGGTTCCTGTCTTCATTAAAAAGGCTGCGCTGCTGCAGAGAGACAATGGAAAAGTAAACTTTTATCAGCAGCAGAAATACAAACAGTTTGAGAAAACAGATATGGGTCAGGAGCTGCATCTGCACAATTACATTGTTAATGGGAAAGACAATGAAAATAGACAACAAAAGAACATCAAATAACTCACTCGAGCTGCGTACACCTCAGCCATCACCACTCAAAAATACATCCAGTGTTTTGAAATGAAGGGAACGGGGGAGAGAGAGAAAGCTGAAAGGAAGACGAAAAAGCATCTTGAACATCAGTTTTCAGTCTAATGTTAATAATTTATGTTGTCTGTGCTTTTTATTATTATTATTTATTTATTTACTGCTTTCTTTTCAGCAGCCTGCCCGTTTTTCAAAGGCATCATGGACAGGGAAGCCGTATCAAACTTTTGAGTTTAGTTTCAAAAGGCTTTCTCCCCCCCCCCCTTATTTATATATTTCTTTTTCTTTACACTTGTCTTGTTGTTATTTGGTGGAGGCAAACACATGAAGCTTTGATGAGAAGCAAACCTGACATGTATTCTTCTCCACTGACCCCAAGGAAATCTAAATAAATGGCTAAATATTGTATGTAAAGGCTCCTTTTGTAACCCTTTTCTCTCATTAAGCACATCAAATATTCACTTCACATGCATTCATGTGTCACCAGCGGCGGGTTAAATGTCGAATAACGCCTTAAATATGAAGCCGTGTGCAAAGGATGGTTTAAACTGCACTCGACCGTGACCTCACCGAGAGAGAACCAAGTTTTGATTTTATTTTAACATTTTCAATAAATGTGTTTATGTGTGGAGCTGAAAAGATGAAAAGAGAAGTCAGTGATGTTTTTTAGTATTTGTATTTGTATGTTACTGAAATCTTTGAACTCTACAGCAAGCTGTACTTGTATTACTAATATCACTTTTTAAAGTGAAATACAAAATATAAACTCATTATATTATATAATTAAATGAGTTTATATAGGGATTAAATGCATCACTGCTTTACTAATGTTTGACTACTGTTAATATTAACAGTATATTGGACATTAATGATAAATATATGTACAATTTGACACATTTAAATATGTAATTTCATGTTTAAACTCACCAAATTGCATAAATTGAGTTAAAAGCCGAGTCGGTCGCTTGCTGCTGAGCTAGTTAGCAACCGTTAGCATGAGTTTAACCAAGATAAGCTTCTTTTTGGGGGGAATTCAGCTCCTGTCTTGTTTAATTTAATAACCAATTTCCAAAATTGTAATAAATTAATGAACCTACAGTTCAGTATATATTTAATATACACCAAATCACATTAACACGACAGTTAACGCCGACTCTCGTTATCATTTATTTCCCATCAAAACTGAATTTAGCTTTAGCCTTATTTAGTTCTGTGGAATAACAAATGACATATACATTTATTAACACATTTATCTACAATATAAGATACTTAAATATGTCATTTAGAGTTAGCTTATTCCACTAGAGTCAAAAGTGAACTGCTCTGTTAAGTTTGTTACCTTTATCTTTTAGGTTTTTCTCCATCATAACTCAGTTTAGCTAATTTTACATCCATTCACATGCATACATTTATTAATCATGTGGAATAATGAACTGAATACATCCAGTTAAGAGATATGTTAATCATATTTTCATTTACAGATTACAAAAAGGGTAAAATGATACATTTCTATGGTATAATAATCCCAAAAAATCAAAGAAAATCATTCTGAAACACACAAAATTCATGTCAAACAATTGTTTATTACTAATTATGGTACAAATCAATGTGACATACTTGAAGCTTTTTTTTTTTTTTTGGAAATACACAAAGTGCTGCTTAACTGACCAAACAGATATTGCTCTATAGATTAAGTACAGTTTTCAGTCTATAAAAAAATTAAAACCAACCTCTGCAGGCTCTTCGGCTTTGGTTTCGAGTTCTTCGTCTATTAACAAAACATCAAACCAGTTTGTTTGTGTTAGTAAAATTTCACAAAAAGCATTTTTAAAGGTTGATTCACTAAAATCATCCTAATTGGGTTAAGAGCAACGTTACTGTAATCTCCTTTTTCCTCTACGCGGGTCTACAGGTTCTGTGAAAACTGAGAGGTGAAAACACCAACGACGAATGAGAAATAATACGACAATAATAATAATAAATAAATAAATAAAAAAAAGATGACCAGAGAGTCACGTGTGGCTCAGGAAAACCACTTCACGAAGAAATAAAAACAATCATGTGTCACGTAATAATAAATAAAAACACATCGAAGGTGAACACCGACACACACACAGTGTAGAGTAATCTTTTTTTCTTCTGACCTGCTGCTGCTTGTATGGCGTTTTAGTATGATTCTCACAAGAACAGTACTGAGGTAAACCTTGGATGAACTTACTGTACATTTCTAACTCTTTCAATTCTTTTTTTTATCTCAGATTTTTTAAAAGATTGTCAACATCATGAATCTATTTCTCTGTACAATGTGCATAACTATAGAGCTTTGGTCCAGCATTGAAAAGTTGAGCGAAGGCATAACTCCTTCCTGTGTCTTCGTTTTATTTTATTTATTTTATCTTTTTGGTTTTGGTTACAGCTTTATTGTTAAGCCTCATAACAGATCCATAGGAGCCTGCTGCTTTCTCTCTCTCTCACGTTTGTCTGGTGGGTGGATGCAGACATGTAGTTTCTTGGCCAAAAGATTTGCCCGAACGAAATACTGGAAGTAACATAAAAATTATGTGGAAATACAAAAAAAAAAAATTAAAAAGATGAATGGAAATTAAGTTTAAATACTTGAATATATCATAAAAATTATATTAAAAAAAGTCTCTGTGCACCAAAAGGAATTTAGGAATACATGTAAAGCTTCTTCATGTGACAACTTTTACCGAGTGTGTGTGTGTGTGTGTGTGTGTTTGTGTGTGTTTTACAGGCAGTGAAGAAGAACACAGCAGTGCACAGGGGACTGAAAGACTGAGATAACCAATGTGACATGGAAGGACAGATATCGAGCAGACACATGATTCTGAATAAATTGCATCAAATTTCACCTCACTTCAAATTAAGTTCACTCGTTCTGACATGTGACACTTATTCTCAACATTCACCTCTCTTTTTTTTATTCTTTTTCCTGTGAGGGTTTTTTTTTGTGAAATTCAAATATTTGTGGGGTTTTCTTTATATAATATTGACATTTCTCACAAAGTAATATGTAAAATGAACAATTTCTATGTAGATTTCCATCACAAATAACCACAAATACATGAGATATTTGAAGATAATCTCTGGAAATGAACCTTTTAAAGCATTTTACTGCAGTAGAAATCAATCAAACGCATTAAAAAATGGTTGATTGTAACATCTGTAAACCTTCACTGAGCTGATGGATGCAGAATATAAAAGAAAACAACATTTATCTTTTCAGGTTTATAAAAAAACAACAACAGCTGAACTGGAAAGAGCTCAGTAGTTTTAGTCAGTGGCAACAAACAGGCTTCAACCACACGTTTATTTGATTTTAGGCCTTAATTAAAGGGTTTAACGTGTAAAATAATGTGTTATTTTTAGTGATATTCAGTTATTAATGTTAATTTTGGGTCATATCCTCATTAATAATCCTTCGTCATGTGGTTTGAGTTGAAGCATGCAGAGGAGAACTTGCTTAAAAAGAAACACTTTTTTCTATATTGCCGTGAAAGAGACTCACTGTTGCAGCTGTTTGACATGATGGTGTGTTTTTTTTGTTTTTGTTGTTGTTGTTAAAATTGATCCACAGAGTGAAACACTTTAGAAAAAAGAGGAGGGGGAGGAAGAAAAGCCAAAATAAATGGAAAAGGTAAAATCTTCACCAGTCCTTGAGCTGAAATTTATGTGTTCTTTGGCTATCAGGCTTTGGCAACAGATCGACACAGTAGCTCAAAACAAAGCTGCAGTAGACTTTGACAGACACTGAAACCCCTCATCATCATCATCATCATCATCATGTGAAAAGTCCCTTAATTTACTCTCTCCCTCCGTCCGTCCTCTGAAACAATCTCATGAGATCATTAATAAATACCTGTAAAAGTTGTACAAAGTTACACCGTGACTGAAAACATTTGCAGATGAAACACAAATCAGAGGCAAAAAACGACATTATTATGCAATTGTTTAACAGCAAAGGTTAAAGTATCATTTTTTTTTTCGTCCAAAAGAGAAACTTTATCGGTGTGATTTCAATTCAAAGACAGTGTTTTTTTTCCAGTTTTTTTTCTTTTTTAAAGATATTTACATACAAACAATGAAGAAAAAAGTAAGCGAAGACAAAGATAAAATGTATACTCAACCTCACACATATAGCTTTAGATTTTTGCCAGTACAAATGTAAAAATTTAGAGCACATTTACATTACAAAATTATTCTTAGTACTCAGATGCAACAGACTTTGGTAAATAGTGTTTTTGATTTGGTATGATCTCTTTACTAAATCCCTCCTCGTGGGAACCAAAATTTGGGCGATAGTCTGGTCTGTAAGGCCAGAATCTAAAACTCTTTGAAACAGCACACCGTATGTTTTTACATAATTCTCAAGATATTAATCTCTTTTTTCATGTTTTTGGTTTTCGCCAAGGTCATTTACATAGCTGTGGTAATCACACTGACAACACATAGTTTTTGTTTTCCAAACTCACGACTGTCCATTCCAGGGTGACTCGGGTTCGTTTCTCAGTTCTCATTTCGAGACGAGTTCATCCAACCTTTTGTTGTTTTTAATGGCTGCCACTTTTCCACTCCATTTTTTTTAAATCTTATTTTATTTTATTTTAAGTCGGAGCAGAGCTCGTTCATTTCGGGAGCTCCTCTAGAGAATCAGTGAGAGGGTCCATTGGCGCAGCCGGGCCGAGTTCGGGCTGTTTCAAACGCTTTATTGTGTTTTTCAAGGCTTGCCTCTTGTTGCAGAACCAGACACGCACCACCTCCCTGTCGTAGTTCAGTTTCTCGGCTATTTCCGTCATTTCCTGTCCGGAGGGGTGTGTGTTCTTCTCAAAGTGGCTGTTGAGGATCTCGAGCGCCTGCGGGGTGAAAGAGGTCCTCCGCTTGCGTTTTTTGGAAGGCTCGCTGCCGATAAACTCAGTCAGGTTCTGCATGCCGGATCGGTGGCGGGCTTCAGCCTCGGCCATCCAGCGCTCCAGAACGGGCTTAATCTTCTGGGCGCTTTTAGGGGTGATGTCCAACTTCTCAAACCTGGCAGGATATAAAAGGCCAGGGTTCAGTTTGCCTGTCAGACTGCTACCTATAGTGTTCTCTTGGGCTTCCTGTGGTAGGAAAAAGTGGCTTCTCAGGATGGTGTGTCTGGGGAGAATTGAGAAAAAAGAATCTTACTTAGGTGCCCTGCCAGAACAAGGGATAAGCTGCCTGCCTTTTAGTCTCCTCAACCAGAATGCCACAGGGACTGAGACTAACGTCCAGGTACACATCCGAGCCAAACTCCACTGTATTCAGCACCTGGAAAACACCTCAGCTGCAGAAGCTGGAGGTGATGGTTGCCAGTAGTGTGTTAATTTTCTGGAGAAGGTTGTGGTTCTCTGTCCCAAATTGGCAATAGTGGAGCAAGGAGATATTGCCGATGGCTAAATCAGCTCCGGTTGAACCAAAAACATACAAAACATCTAACTAAATGTTTTAAATACTGTACTTAAAAAGGAAAAATGAATTAAAATCAACAGAAAAAACAACAATTACTCCCAAATAAATATCCCATTTCTTCTTTCCCTCAGGTAATAAAAACCAAAAACTCCACTAATGCATGCAGTTAAATATGGCACCATCATTTATTTACAAAAAAAAGAAAAAAAGCTTGAATTATTAATCAAAATGTACATTTAATACATTTTTCAAACTTTCTTTCATCCTCTAACAACGTCTCATTTTATATTTAATGAGAATACATTTACACACTCTAATCCTGAAAGTTCCTGCAACTTTACACATAATTCTGACTCCACATATACTCGGCATTTTAGCAACTCACAGGTAAGAATGGAAAATGAAGCTTTTTTTAAAAACACTAAGAGTTGGCAGCTCAGTGACTTTGTCGGGTGCTTTTTTACTGCGATATGAACAGATACTGTGTGTGGGATTAGAGTTAGATATATGAGGAAGATGATGGTTTTGCTGTTTGACAGTAAAGTGATGAATTCATCTCGTGTCTGTTATGTTAGTAAGTAAGTATGCTGACTTAGGAGAAAATGTTAATTTTGTTTAGAGGTTTTATGGCTACAGACACAAATAAAATCCCTAAAAAAATAAATTTCACATAGTAATTATGGTGTTATTGACCTGAGTTATGAGGTCAATACTGACATTTATATTTATTTTTCACCCAGACTTTTATTTATGGATCTTTTAAAGGACCAGTGTATAGGATTTAGTGGCATCTAGCGGTGAAATTTCATCACAACTCAGGCTTCCAACTATGTAGGAGGGAACAACAAAAAACGTGAGTGACCCAATCTAGAGCCAAAGAGTTTGGTTTTGTCTGTTCTGGGCTACTGTAGAAACATGGCTGCCTGTGTGGAAGAAGACCTGCTCCATATGTAGATAAAATGACTCTAAAATAACAAAAAAACAACGATTCTTGTTTTCAGGGGATTTTACACCAATGAAAAAATGTCTGCTAATGGAGAAAGCTGCAGATTCTTATAAGTTGTTATGTTGTTTTAGACTTTTTGTATTTATGGTGATTTACACGTTAACATGACTAATTGACGGACTGTATTTAAAGAAACTATAATCAACTTTAAACGCTGACAGTAAATGTTTGTCTGGCTCTATTATTTACAGACTGGGACATGATTGTCGCTTAAAGCTGAACTGATCTGACATTCTTTGGGGTTAATTGTTGTTTCTTTTGCCAATTTTGTCAGGAAAATACGCGGTAAAGTTCCTGTTAGGCTCGAACCAATGACAGTTACGTAACACATTGTGGGCTGTCCGGATGTCCCATTACAGAAAATGTGTTTTTAATTGAAGGAGCACATCAGGACTCTAGTGACGTCTGAAACTGCCTGGTTGAAACATCAGACTTACCACTGGAGTGTACTGCAACACAACTGCATGTTAGATGTCATTCATCTATGATTCCTCTGATGCTTTAAAGAATATTTATTGTTATTTGATTGTTTTAAATGGTGCGTCTGTGTGAGATTCTGGTTTTGTGTGACTAAATTGTCCTCTGGGATGCAGAATATCTACAAAACAGACAGTGAAATCTTCATTTAACATCACATGCCTATTAATTGGGGAGGTTTTCGGTGTTTCTGGGACAAACATGAGTGTAAAGTGTGTGAGTGCTTTTAGTAAAATGACTCCTGAACTGACAGCTCTGATGGAAACGACAGCAGAGATCTACAAGGAGTCTCTCTGGCTCTCTGTGGAACAAACAATGCACACAAGACATTTTTAATGGCGAGGTAAGCAGCTGCAGACAATAGCGAGGGGCGAGATGCCCATGCATGCATGAACTTCCTCTGTTTCTACACCTCGTTGGTGCTTTCCTCCTTGTCGACAGGCGGTATTATTTATAACCCGCGTCCTCCTCCTAAACAGTGGAAAGAGGAGGGCTCCATACTGCGGGGAATACATTAGTAAATATGAGGAGTCACCAGAGACAGGACATTTCATGGATCAACAGGAAGCGAAGATACTAAAATGAGTTGAGAGCTGCTCAGCTGGAGTATGCACTCCCTCCACTAGTGCATCAGCACGAGGGAGAAATGGCCCTGAATGCACCTTCAGCCTTTCTGGCTCTTCTTAAAAGTACCTTAGGAGGCTGCTGTATGTTACAGTTTCCCTGAGGGGTTTACAGTCATGGACCAGTGAGAGCTGTGTGAAAGGTATAAGCCAGTATGACCTAAAATCTACAGTATATGAAGACAGTAAATCATGTCATGTTGGTTCGCTTGTGTTACATTTGTACTGTTTAATTAAAGTTAAAGATAAAGCTACTGTTTGTTTATAGACATGTATTGAAAACTATCAAGGAGGAAAGGGTGATATAACAATATTTATAGGGAGACAATATGTTATTCTAAACTATATTGTGGTTTCTGTTGTATTAGTAGTTCACTGAATCATTGAACGAGACGTTTTTATGGCAAAATCGTTTTTATATGACTTTGAAATAAATGTGATCTGGTGTATCTGGACATTCATGTCTGGTTATTTTGTCCAGTAACAATTTCTCAACTCGTTCTCCAAACATGTATTTTGTGACTATATATATATATATATATACATAGTGATATAATGATAGAAAATTAAAAATACTGTAATTAAGTATTTAATGCATATCGCTCAACCCTACAGTAAAACACTGAGAGCTGGCATTAAAGGCTTTAAGTGTTTTATTAGGCAAAGTTCTTGTAAAGCCGCTTTATGTTGTGAAAAACATTAAACACTGACTGATTTAATTAATTATAAATTAATTTATTTTGTTTAATATAAAATTATTTTATAGAATTTTTTTAAATATATGTTTGAAAATAATTGTTTTTCTTGGCTTTGTGTTGCATTTTACACACAAATTGTGCTATATAAAAAGTGTATTAATATTATTATTATTATTGTAAAGGCATTTCAATTATCCTACACTTGTGATATAAGTAAATTTGAATCGTAAGAGGTTTATAAGATCAGTGACTTAAGTTTATTGTTTAGCACTACTCAGGACTATTGATAAAATATGGCTGTTTATGCTTTTATAAGCTGTGTATGTAAGTTATTTATGCTGAGTCAGATGTGTCTTTTTAAAGATTTAACTGAGGAAAGCAATCTAAGAGTTTATAATGGGACTCAGAATTCTCAGCAGTGTGAAAGACAAGTTATAACACATTTACTATGTTAATAATGTAATAAAAAGAGAAGTTTTTCAGTTTTAAATCAGAATATTTTGTGTTTTTTAATACCCATATTAGCCAAACCGAACCAAATTTGAGCCACAGGACGACACACTGGTACATCATTGGTTTGATGATGCCCTCATGTAATGCATGTGCCTGTTAAGATAAACTAATAAAGTCCCTGGAAACATAGTGAGCAATGAAAGGAGACAAGATGGAAGCATCTGTCAGTGTCTGTTCACTGTCTGGGTTCAGAGCCGGAGCCCCAGAGCTACCGTGACGTCCCGCTTCTCCTCAAACTTCATGTCTATGTTGATGTTAACTAAACTAAAGCATGTGAAGTTTGCCCCTCTACTTAAAACATCAGGTTGTCATGTCCGATGTCATACAAACAAAAAAAATTGTCTTAACGGCATGAATAACAGCCCACAGAGTGTTTATTTTTGAAGCTAATGGCTTTTAATGTATGTTATAAATATTTGAATTATTCCTGGCTGTAAATATTTTATGTGTGATTTTAAGACTTTAAACATTAGTCAGAGATGGCTGGGCCTCATAAGAACCCTGGCCCCTGTACTGTTTCACATTTTATCGCTCGTTTGATGTTGATGTGATGAAATTTTTAAAAGTGCGTGGCAGCGCCGCGTCACATAAACAGTACAGGTCGTCAGCAAAGCACATGCATTGCAGAGGGACATTAAAATTAATACGGGAATAGGAATATTTATCCGAAAATGGGAAAAACTGGCTTTGATTGTGTTAAATTCTGTGTTAAGTTGTCAAAAATGGATCCTTTAATTACATTTTTAAAACATTAACTTCCATTTGTAAACATTTTAATTAATCTTACACTTCTACTACAATTCTTTTTCTTATTGTAAAATTACTGATTTTACTATTTGTTTCTCTTAAAAATTTCATATTTGGGCATGATGTAGCCCAACTATTCTGAATTGAAAGAGAAATATGGCTCCTTTGGCATCCTCTTACAAAATGTTAGTCAAGTGGAACAACAGGACGCATGAAACACTGATTGTCTGATTGTCTCATGAATATATAATGCACCATTTATGACTAAACTGTCCTCGTGGCAGCAGTAAAACATGGCAATCTTATTAACAGATCATCGCCGTCAAGCTCTCTCATGTTCAAGCGGAGCGACCGGCAATGGGCCTTAGAAATTATTAAATGCTTTAAGTGCTTCGTGTAATACTTTGTATGTATTTTGCATAAGTAACGCGAGGCTGTCATGTCAGCGGGTGAGAGGGAAGTGAGAGGAAGGTGGGTAAGTACAGACATGAGAGCTTCGTTTGTCAGGGTGGTGATAGTCAATTATGTATTTTAATATCTTAATAATGTCTGTTACAACATGGAATGAAAAATGGATGGCAGTTATGAGCACCAGACAACTCAGTGAGGCTGCACGACTTCATCTGCTCTCATTTGACAGAATTAGGACACACTGGTCAGATATAATGAACGCTTTATTGTTAGACTTTTACCCTCTTTGTTTGTTCTTACCTGCAGATGGCAGACTGGCTGTACGCCGGCCCCTCGGCAGCGCTGAGCGCCTGGCCCACCTGAGTCTGTGTCAGGCCCAGGGACAGCCGGCGGATCTTGAATGCTTTGGCGAATTCACGAATCTCCTCCAGATTGACCCCATCCACCTCGCTGGGGGCGGTCTGCGGGTCTACAATACAACACACACGTCTCATTTTATTAGCCCTCTGCTCCCCCGTCGCTTACCTCATTTTCCAGAGTGAATGAAGCAAACACCCAGACATATGTGATCATGATCGTCTCTAAACAACAAAAAAGTAGCCCTGCTCTGGGTCAGAACTTATTATTTCTCTTTGCCCTTGTGTGGTAAACTGCATGTATCTGAGCGATATTTGAAGAATAAATTCATCTGAGGTGTGAATGCAGGCATGTCATGGCTCTGACTTGCAAGTGTAAATCTTTAATCTCGCACACAAAAGCAATATGGACAAAACCATACGACACAGAGCTTGTTAATTCAATAGATGGATAGATCTTGAGCAGACACACAGCAGATACTGTGGCTCTTTTTCTTCTATCTCTCTTCTAGTTTTCTGTATGAATACACATATTCTAAAGCTAGCACTCTCAAATAAATATTAAATAATGTATAAAGACATTATTTTATCCATCTGACCGCTGGTGAAGACAGTTCAGGCCTTCAAACCACCAGCGAGCCTCGTGCAGAGGAACACACACAGAGAACACTCTTTATACAAAGAAATGCTGTTTGTGAATCTCCGCATTTGAGCAGAAAAACTTCACTGAATCATTTTGAAGAATTTCCCCGCTAATAAAAAGTGATTTCACATTGTACATCAATGTCAGGTGCCCTGGCATCCTGCTTACTAAAGCAAAGTTTGTGCCTCTGAATTATTCATCTTGGTCATTATCAATGAATTATTAAAGGAATCCTCCAAGCGTATTTAAGCAAAAATCTATGGGCCTGCCATCTCGTTGTGCCTCATAAGTGACGTGTAGCGTGTGCGGCGTGCTCCAGACGTGTGAACACTTGGAAGACGAGGGACTAGAGACTCCGAGACGACTAAATGGGAGGGATGAGCACTCACAGCTTCGGGTCCCATCATCTCCACATTGATGAGCATCTCTTCATCATTCCCAACAGAGTCTATTTACTCAGTGGTTTGAAAGACTAATGGCACTCTAGAGCGGCGGTGCTCAACTGGTCTAAACTCTGGATCCATTATTTGTCTGTAGACATTAAGTCGCAAACCCAAACATGATTTAAGATTTAAACCCTAAAGCTTGATTTATTTTGCAATAATGAACGGTGGAGTAAAGCTTTCACAGAAAAAACTGAATTAAATGTTTTAAAAGACAAATTAAAAAACACTGAAACAATGGAGACAATTTCTGGAGCCTCCAAAAGCTTTTCTTTACTTTTCTTCACAGCAATAATACGCTGATGATCTTAATAATTACAGCAGGACAATAACAAGTTCTCTTCTGAAAAGTGAAATGAGAAAAACCTTCATATTAATTCAAATTACAGGTACGACTCGTCTATTATGAGCCAGGACTTAATGGCACCCAATGTGCCAGACAAAGTTTTTTATCTGTCTGTCCTTCACTTAAGAAGTTTTTCTTTTTGTAGAAACGTTCCTAATGTACTTGAATTGGACTTAATGATGATAAAGTTTGTAGCTGCGACCCACCAGTTAGAAAATGTGAGAATAAGTTACGCTCTCCTTGTGTATAACCTTAACATGTGAGCTGTGATAAAGACAGCTCTTTGCATTTACACCTGGTGTTAATATGGATCCTTGTTATGTCAGTTTTGTCATCACATATAACTTAACGAGAATCATTTCATTGTTAAATCACTTTTAGTGTGGACGACTTGCTAACTGCTGCTACTACTATTAGTTAGTGTAGTAGTAGAACGATTATAATTTATATTTTTTAACGTATAGAATGGCAACAATCCCTCGTAGAGATGAACCTACAGAGAATTATTACCTGAATCTGCAGTAAATGTTGGACTTCAACATAAAAACATATTGTGTATGTTATTGCAGAATGTGGTCACACTGCACAGACAATGCTACTTATCCAGATACAGACAGCATATTATTGCCAGCTGTAAATGGAGGTATGAGAGCCCTTGAGCAAGGCACTTTAACCTCTATTTTGTTCCAGTGCAGCTGCTCGCTGGAGCCCAATAGAAGACTGGGGTTGTTGTGGTGAAATGAGGGCTAAGGTTGGGTGTTGCTGGAAAAAAAAAGTTTGTATGCACAGTCAACTTTCTCTGGACAAATAAACGTTAAAATAAAAAAACAACCTCGAGGTAAAATATCGCTGGCATTCTGTTTTCTGATTGACATTTTCCCATCTGATTATTTTAAATAACAGTAACAGAAATTCTCAGTTTTTTTATCTGTTTGTGGCACTTTGTTTGTGGCCAGTGAACGCAATGACATTTCATCTTCTCAGCAGACGTCTCTGATTCTGTCATGGGATTTTGCTTCGTGTATGTACGCTGTAAGTGATATTGAGAGGAAGTGATATGACTCATACTCAGCATAAAGCATTAATTCTATTTACCCCAGAACTGAGACACAAAGATTTTGTGCAGACTCAAAAACGGTTTATAAGATATCTTCCCAGCTACAAGTAAACACAAACTAAACACGGTGTCTACAACAAGTTGATCAATGGCGACTTGTTTTTTATTAAATTCAGTGGCATTGTGGCTGCCTTTAAAATGAGTTTACATGGAGTTTAGGAGAATCGACTCTGACAAATGAAATTTATCTGAATAAAACAGAGTTTTTAAAGGCAATAGCTGCATGCTGACAGGCTGTGGCCCAGTGATTTATAAGGCTCTGCCAAGGGCCCCCGCATTGGGAGAATGAAACTTATGTTCATTATACAGAACACACGCCACTTTAGATTGTCTAATAAACCAAAGAATTGACAGTCAGGAAAAAAATATAACAATTGTAGGAGGCGGGGATCAGTCAAAGGCTGTCGTCACTGAGAGTAATGTAGACACTGAGAGACCGCCATTGTTGAATCTTGAGGCGTTGTTTCTAGTCTGATATCTACTCATGCAGATCTCAATACAATGGAGATCAACTGAATTTAATTTGTGATACTCGTAACATTAAAAAAACTAAACAAAAACTGTGTGTGTGTCTGTCACTCTGGATAATAATTATTCAGTGGAAAGTCGTTCCATTGAAAACAGTTCAGAGTGGGTCTGTGTATCATGTAGTTTCTGTCCATATTTGATATAACTAGATAATAAATCTCACTCTTACCAAGATTTTTATTTGTGATTTCATTCATTATTGTCGTATTTTCCTAAAGCAAAGTAAGAAAATAGAAAGTAAAAAATATTTCCAATAAAAGTCGACTTACTCAAAGAATTGAGTGTCATTATCTGCTCTTGAAGAAGAAAATGCTTTAAAGAAGCTGCTTTACATCAGAGAAAAACGTTACTTTTCACACTGGACTGGCAGATTGCTTCACTTATTTTTAAGGTTACATGTGGTGATATAATTCTATTCATTGTCAACAAATCCCATGAAAAGACCAAAACCAACAATGAATCGACTCCAGAGAGTCAGAGAGAGCTCCACTGTTGTCCAAAAACTATTGAAAACACATAAAAACGCTGTTGAACGGAGCATCACGTTCCTTCAATAGGTTGAACACTCGCACTTTAGTTTATTGTGAGTCAAAGTACAAGGTCCCGCTGCTCATTTGAGCACCAAATGTGTGTTAATCCACTGCTGAAAATAGTCCCCGAATGCACTACTTCCTCCTGTTTTGATAACGTTTGATGATGAGCTGATCTAGGAAATTACCCTTGACCTTACCCTTTAATGCACATTCACTGTCATATCAACGCTACAAGAGTCAGTGAATTGTATTTTGGGTGTTTTGAAGGCATGTTGTGTTTTTGTGAGGTGTGTCGGACACTTACTGCTGACCAGCTGCCCCACGCTGAGAGCCGAGGAAGAGGAGGAGGTGGAGGAGGAGGAAGAGGCCTGGTGGAGGGGACTCTGTCTGTGGGGCATGTGGAGCAGGTTGGGCTGAGACGATGCGGGGCCTGTCTGACCCTGCTGCTGGATACACAAGCACATACACACACAGAGCTGATACAATATATTGACAGCATGCTGTACAGAAGAATATCCATTATTCCCTTCTGCACATTATCACAATAATCATCATTTATAGTAATCATGTCATTATGGTGATTGAGCTATAATATTAAATCTGATCAACCAATCAACAGCTATTAAATTAGCCACTTAGAAGCTGAATCTAATGAGATTTACCTTGTACCAGACGATGAATAATGTTAATCACTGCCTGCAGTATTTAGACTGACAGCAGAATATAGCATCAATAGTCTGCTCAAGAGACTACAGAGGTGGTTAACCATTACAGGAGAGTCAACTCAGGTAACCCACTTTCTCTCTATGAGCTTCTCTGCAGTTAAATCAGTTAAAAAACAAGATAACCGCTCATGACAATTAGAGTTACTTCTCTCTCGTCATCAAACCCAAGAGGATGCTAATAATGGCAGCCTGAATCTGAAAGAAAAACATGTGGACACAGCAAGTCCCCGTATCAAACATAATTCATGATCCACAAGCTACGTGCTCTGATGGCGAAAAAACGATGTATTTTCATGTTTTATGCACATTTGAATTGCTTTTACAAGATCAAGATGGTACGTCTTCACTTTTAAAGTGAAAAGCTGTCTCCGCTATAAGCTAGGCCGGCTTCTCCTTCTCCTTCTTTGCAATTAATTATTTTCTCTGTGGCATGTGTTTGTTTGGATGGTGGGGGGTGTCAACAGCGATGCACACACTGTCAGGACTGTTGACAGGCTCGGAGAATTATCTAGCTTCACTGGAAATATTCTAGACTGCAGACTCTGACAACCGTAAATTATGCCCGTGGAACAATGTGTACATGCGGGCTTTGAAGTGGAGACAAAAGCATAAACATTATCACAAATGCATTAATTCATTCGAGAGTATGATCTGGTGCTTTTGGGGAGCCACAATTAGGTGTCCATCTGCTGAGAGTTCATCCATTCTGCACTGTACAGGCCTTCAGTGTGAACTTTTACTCTGTAATTCTACGCTGACATCACCATTATCAAGTCAATAACATTTTCATTGTTGTGTGCATGCATCTGACTCCAGACTTGTGTGCGCTGTATAGATCCTCAAATTGGAAGGAGATTATGTTTGAGCTTGAGTTTCTACACTTACAGTACAAACTTTAAAAAAAAGCAGAAAAGAAAGAGAACTTGTGTGTTTTATTCCTTTAAATCAAAACAAAATCCTTCTTGTTCAGGTCAGAGAGGACAAATCATAAGACTGCAGAGTGTGATTGAGGAAGGAGAAGAGGGAGGGAGGGAGAGTGGAACGGAAAGAGGTGGAGAGCAGAGGCAGGAGTGTTTGAGTTTTAAGTGGGGTGATGAAAAGTGTTGCTTTGTTTTTGTTTTTTTTGCTGGTTTGGGCTCTGCAGGGGCGCGGAGTCTGAAAGGTTGGCTGACAAGTGCCTTCGAAGCATGCATGCACACACACACACACACAATGAAACATGCAAACACACACACAATGCGAACAATTGTACCAAAAGCTACAATTTTCCAAGCTGAATGATGCAAATGAGCGTTATGAGTGTTGAAGCAGGAGAAATATGAGGTGTTTAGCATAAAGCAGACCTGACTAGCAGCGCTGGAATATTGCTTTCAGAAATAAACAGAGCTCTAGTCTGACTCCACTAGGTGTTGCTCATTCAACGGCTTTAAAGTCAGCTCTTGATCGCTGTTGAAACATCAGTTCAAGTATATAATAAGCTGCTCAACAAGATATCTTCCTCTATATGTGTGCGTGTGTGTTTGTGCATCAGTGTATATGTTACCTGCTGTCCAGGCTTGATTGGTGACAGCGTGATTCCCTGGGTGTTGATGACAGGCAGGATCTGATTGCCGATCACCGTGGCGATGATCTGGCCTTGAGCGTTGGTCAGAAGCTGAGGTGTAATTGGCTGTACCTGCAGTGCTGGGTTGCCACCCCCTGATTGGCTGGAGGGCCCTGCAGAGTTGGGCATCAGTGGGATTGTTCCAATTATCTACAAAGGGGGTAGAGAGAAGACAAAATCAGCTGGGCGGTTTTAAAAAGAAGATGGAGCAGAGAGGGTAAACGCTACTGGAGGTATCGCTCTTAATGATCTCTGCCACTGTGAGGGTTTTTTTTTAAGGGGGGGGGGGGGCTTTTTTGTGTGTGATCGGAAACAAAGCATTAGCCGGTCATTTTGCCGCGTTACGAGGCTAATCAGAGCTCTCAGCTTTCCAGTTGGTCCGTGTGTGTGTGATTCTGAGAGAGAAACATGCACAAGTGTCCACTGATCATCTGTCACTGACGTGGTTTTACAGGCGAGAGCAAGTGAAGCCAAAGCAGACTGCTGGGAGCGCACTGCAAAGGTCAGCGCTGAATACCTGTGTGTGTGATGGTGCACACCACTGACTGTATTATCCATCACCAGGCCAAGACCGGAATGAGTGTGTGCGTATGTGTGACTGTGTGTGTCTAAGTGTCTTTGTCTGTCTCTGGTGAGAAGGAGGGAGGCTGCTGAGAGACAGAGACCCCCATTTCACCCCCTCTCTCTCTCTCATACACACAGGCAGAAAGGAAGAAGTGGAAAGAAAGAGCAAGAAAATACAAAATAAGAGGGAGAAAAGGAGGAGCATCAGAGAGTGAGACAGGACGCTGTGTTTCTAATTCAACTCTTAGGGGTCCCAGGGGTACTTCACCCCTCCTCCACACCCCTCTAGCCCCTGCTTTGCTCTCCTCTGTGGCTGTAATCAGGAAGGGCAGATCAAAGGGGGCGGCAGAGTGTCACTGCAGCGTTTTAGCTCTCAGAGCTGCCAGAGTGTGGCCAAGAGTGGCGCTTTAGGGGGGTCTTAGCGCCTCTTCACCATGATGAAGGTTAATGTCATCTGGGGACTGGTTCTGAGCAGCTCCTGAGCAGCCATCGCCCCGGTCCCCCCCCTCCCGATGACATCGCTCCTCCACCAAGCCTCATTACACCAGAGAGCAGCTCAACATGGATGAGACGTCCATCATTTTAAATTTGGCAACCGGGCAAAGAGCTACTTTTGCAAAAATTGCCCTCTTCTTCTTCTTTAAGTTTATATTTTAGTACAATCTTCTACACCTCAACCCAAAGCAACACGAAACTACAAACAGCTTCTACGTAGCATTAACTAAGCATGTTCTGGCTCCCTAGTCTCTATCGCCACCACTGCTGATGTGTTTCAGCCTGTGGTTAGCCTCCTCCTCCCCTCTCTCTCCCCCCCCCATCTCTTTGACATAATAGGGAGGGATCAGTGAGAGAAAGGTGGGCCGACAATCTGTAATTCATCCCTGCCACGGCTCATTTGCTTACGTTGCTTCGCATTAGGGGAGAGATAATTTATCTCTCTCTCCGCGGCGGCTTTACAAATTCCCTGTAATGCTCTCCTGCCACTTAGCATATTTTATTGCCCTGCCTGACGCTCTTGTCTCCTGAGTCCCACTGATCCCGCTTTGCATGCCACTGTGGCAGGGAACTTGTTCCGCTCAATTATTCATCGTCATTGGACTAAGTGGTTGTTCTATAAGCATAATAAAAGAGCAGGCAAGTGACAGCGGAGCTCTCGTCCCTGTTGCACCGTGCAATGCTTCTCTATCTGACTATCTGAGGCAGATGTTTCATGGCAGTGTCTCAAAGCTCTTCTGGGGCTGGAGGAGTAGAGTTTGTAGAGCAGTGAAGTTTGAGTGTTGATTTATAGACAGAAGGCAAAACTTGTTGTTATATATACTGAATTTGAGGGGCTTGTGTTTATAGTTTACTGTAAGATAATTAAGCCTGGATATCAAACCTAAATACTTTTTGAATATCAACAAAGACACATCTGTAGCATCAAAAAAGGTAAAGTCAGATTTTATTTATCCTTTCAACAGAACTTTCCAGAACTAAATCAATGTTAACTTTAGCATATCATTTCATTCAGGCAAAGTTATTTATTTAACACTGATGCATTTTTCAAATTTGGCAACGTGTTTATATTCTCCAAACTAAGGTATCAAAATAACAGTTTGGGTTATATACATAACTATAAACATATTGAGATCATTTCCCGTTGTATGCTTCTGTTTGATTCATAAAAGTGCAACCTTATGTAACACTAACTGTAATGTTTAAACCTCAAACTAACTTCGAGTGTTTCTTGTAAGTGACTGAGAGCAGCGATTGCCAAGTTTCTGGTTTGACAAACAATTCCCATCAACACACAGGTCTTGCTATTCATTCCTCATGTTTCTACCGATAATATTAGTATTTGTACACATGAGAAGGTTGCACAGCTCAAATTTGGTGAGCGTGTGCTTCGAAAACCTGCAGTACTCCTAATCAACCAGCAGGATATTCTGTCTCTACAACTGGTCCAACTGTGCAATCATTTCTATTTCTTCGGGTGCAATTTTATTGCACCACCATTTCATAAATAAGCAGCCATCAGAACCTTATTCACTGCTAAGTCCCTCTCCTCAGTTTCTTCTCCTTTATTTGGCTTCCTGTGTTTGCTTCCCGCTCCAGTTTGTATGACATGTGAGTAACGTGCCTCTCTCCACCCAGCAGAACTCATTAAGATTATGCTGCTCTTGTTTCCACAGAAATGTCATCTCATCTCTCCAGCCAGGGCAATCTGTGTCTTTAGCCATGGTCGCCAGGCAATATCTCTGCCCATTTTCTCTCCTCCACTGTTCATGCGGTGAATTGAGACCCAAGAGGGAAAATGTTTGGGAAGTTTGGTCCAAAGTCCAAAAAAAAACTAAGATTCAGAGCAAATCAAAGCTTAAAACAACAGACTCATAATAGTACGCTGGACAGAAGACTTCCTAGGGCCAGGGTGGCAGATATTTTCTATTTATTTAATAGCTTTTGTTTTATTTTATCAAATACACAACAAGATGCAGGTTCAGTACATTAGTGCAGAAATGACAGAAATTAACAGAAATTAGTTGATCCAAAAAAACCTTATCAAAAACTTTAATAATTGATTAATTGCTTAAATTATTTATCCAACACAAATGTCAAACATTAGATATTTTCATCATCTCAAATGCTATAATTTGTTGCCTTTCCATGTTTTATATCATTGTTAATATTATACCTTTGGTTTTTGGAGTCGGGCAAAACAAGCAATCTGGAAGTTTGTAGGGCTTCGACAGATTGATACTGAAAATAATCAATAGCTGCAGCCTACAGTAGATTTACAATTACGAGGTCAATAGCAGTTTACACTGATGTAACACAGGATCTAAGGGTTAAAAGCTTTTATCAACACACAGGGCACACTGGTGTTATGGTTCAGCATCACTCACTTTACAGGCTAACTTGCTTTGCAGGTTAACCGTGCATGTTCTTTACCTGTTGTCCTCTGCATTAGTGCCACCACCATCCACCCTAGGGACTGAGAATGCTGGGAGTAAAAGGGATTGATGGCCTACAGCCCAAATAAAGTAAGGAGAGGATGTCCATACACAAAGCTAAAGAACCAGGGATTACTAAACTGGGATTTAACACACACACACACACACACACACACACACAAACCAATTCAACTACACCTTTCAGGACGGATGGTACGCTACATAAAACATCCCTTTATGTCCCCTTTTCCCAACATACTTTTACTGCCATATTAAAGGAAAAGTGAGAATTTGCACTGAATAGAAGATGTTGACAAAAATGCGATAGATTCATAAAGGAAAGAAATCTCAGGAGTGAGAGTGACTAAACAATATTCTGGCTTTTATCCACAGCTTTAATCACTGTTGTAGACGTGGCGAGGACAAAAGAGCCTCATTGATTCTCCTTGGAGAATAAAAAGGCTGGGGCCAATATAATTAAGGTTTAAAAACATATTGAACTCCAAACGTTCATCAAACCTGGCACTTTTCAAGGTCCCCAGAGCTCTTGCTTATGAAAAGGTCTTTTGACGGAGTTGTAGAAGAAATTATAAGGTCAAGACAGTATAGTATGTTTTACATTCAAGGAAAGGTGACTCTTTACTCTTGGAGTACATTGATGATACAGATTGTTCCCCCGAAATGCCAATCAAACGCTACCCTGAAGGGATGAAAGAAAAACTCCAGCAATGCAAACTAAAATTTGATAAAAGCTGCTCCACTGCCTCCTGTTTTGTAGCTTTTCCACACTGACATAAGTTCTCAGAGCGTGTTTGGTGGACCTCCAACCTTGTTTGGGGTATGTATTAGCCTGTATAATCTCCTCAGTGTTGGGGGGAGGGGGGTGCGGGACCTTCTGATAGGGTAGTGCATGTTTCAGAGCCCTCCGTCTGAATAATGCTATGGAATAATGAGGTGGGGAGCAAAGGCTGTAGCCCAAGGCTTTGACCGTCTCTGTGACCTGATTATGTCAGGGGCTGTCAGCCGCCAAGACACTACAAAAGCACAGAGCATCCCATCAAGTCCATATCCACAGTGATCTGTCCCCAGTGCTCCAGGCACCTTGTGAGCCAGGGAAGTCCATACTGTCTCATTAGCGACGTTTAGCATCAAGTGCTCGGACAACACTTTACTGTAGACAATGAGGCATGGTCACACTGGTGGTACTGATACTTTACTCCAGTAGGCTAAACTCCACGTTTAACATTAAAAATCAACATGTTTTCGCATGTTTTCTAGTCCTAAGAAATGTCACCTACTGCTTTGGTTTCACCATATTTTTGTTAAGTTTACAGTAAGGACAGTGCAAGTGTTGAAAGATGAAACAGGGGTTATGGTAAATAACACAGAGTGGCATGAAAGGGCACATTGTCCATACAATTTTCCTTTAATATGTGCCGTGTGCACCTGCGATAAGATGATTCATTAGATAGGGTCCCACAATGACAAGCATCATCGTTCAAGCCTCTGGCTACTGATGGAACAATTCTGCAGCCACCCTGTAAATATGACAAGGTCAGCATTTTACTGTGACAGGCGCATGTGGATAAGAGAAAGAAGGGCTTTGTTTATTCCCAAAAAGCTTAATATATGGTGGGGTGGCTACTAGAGTGTAGACAAACAGCTCCAAACACAACACACAGACCCACCACTGGAAATCTATAAGGAAGGATCAAAAATACTATACAAATGTTTTATTTGGAACTGCAGTCATACATGATAGATGGTCCAGCAACATCTCTTACAGACCTGTTACCAAGGAAACTGTTTTCCCACTGCAGGATTTCATTAACTGTATGTACAAAAGATCTTTTTTTTTTGGTGTCCAGTATACAGCACTCACCTGTCCTTGTGCGTTGGTGACCAGCTGTCCAGTGGCTCCTTGCAGGTTTGACAGGGTGTTTCCAAACACCTGAGAACCGGCGATGGATCCCATGGCTGCCGCTGCTGCCACCTGGCTGGCCAGTGGATTCAGCTGGTGAGGGCAAGGAAATCATTCGTCAAAAAACTGCATCTGTTTATATCAATCGTGGAGATATGTACCGGTGTAATGCTAATTCCTAAGAGAGCTGGTTCAGGAAGGCTCGGTGTGTGTGGGGGGGGGCTTCAAGCTCCCATTCTTTGTTGCTGAAGGCCAGAATAGGCTAACTGCAGTGAGGTCTGTATAGTCCAGTAGAGAGGGCTATGCAGTCCATCATACAGTTCCCAGAGGTCTGTGCTCCCGAACCCAGTGGGAGGCTCGAGGGTTGGGAGGAGCAGTGAGAACGGGACGGTGGCTGTGAATAAGTGGCCATTTTACCACTCTAAGTGCTTCCTCTGGCCCCCGGGGCTCCCCACGGGCCGAAGCGAGTCTCTCCACCCGCAGCAATGGCCCAACAGCATCCCGCTCACAATAGAGCCGAGCAGTGTGGCCATGCATCACTGTATTGCCAACCCCTTCGATATTCTTCGACTAAGAATTCCTCCTGCGTCATAATGCACTAGCACACTGTTACTTTTGAAGGAGAGGAGGGTTAAAAGGACCATTTTTACCCCCAGCTGTAATGGACTCATCTGGTCTGGCCTGTGGTTGTGAAAAGAGGCTCCTTGCGTCAGGGAGAGGTTGTAGAGCCCCGCCACATCGACGAGATTACCCATATAAATCAAGCTAACCACTTATTAGGGGGCTGAAAATGCACTGCTGATTTGGTTGTAGTGCAGCAGAGCAAAGTCTTATTAGGTTGAGTAAGTAGATCAAAGACCAAGAAGAGATAGGAGACCTCCCAATTACTCAACAGAATAGAGAAATAATAGAAACACTGCTTTTGGAGCAGACTGCCTGCTCCCTGCTGCTAATACTGGTGGCTACATTCAAAGAAAACTGAGTAGAGTTCATATAGATTAGTTTAAAATAACATCAAGTGTTTCATATATTGTTAGGTTTATGTAAAATACTATGTGCTGGTGAAAGAAATTCTTTTATTGAAAGCACCGTCTCCACACTCTCTGTACTCTGCAGGGAATTCAGCTTTGTTCATCTGAGATCATTCAGTTGCCATTCATCTTTTATCGTACCCCACCACCATATATTATTACACTTTCTGAAATCAAATGATGAAAAAATGCCACAGAGCGATCAATACTTTTTCATTGACAGTAAAGGTTAAGCACATTAAGAATGACACTGCATTTGTCTTATGAAATCATATTTCATGTTGGTGGCCTCAAATTGGCCGTGATTGATATTGCCTCCTCTCGTCTGAAAGTCATCCAGTTTTCCCCGATAATCGCAAGATTGTCTTTTATGTGTCCAGCAGTTGTCCTTCGGAAATCCCAACGTCTCAGATGTTTGAATTCTGTCTTAACATGCAAATGCAGAAGGAAAGCAGAACTTCAGTAAAGCTGGAATTAAACTGCAACATTTGAGAGGAAGTTCCCTAAGTTATATATATTACAGTATAGTATTTTGGCTAATTTAGGCGCACTAACAATTAAGGGAAATTACTGGTAATTAACACAATATTCCAACACATGTGATTTCTGTTCTGAAAGGATTTTGTATTTTGAATTACACTGGAGATAACTAAAAGATAAGAGTTTAATATTGTATCTTGTAAAAGACGATTAGTCTTCTTCCAATACAAAAAACACACTGTCCTTTACCCAATATGTTTTGCTTAATAGTGAAACTTTAATTAATTTAGAGGTCTCATTTGACTACTATGTACAGTGCAATATAGTATGAAACAGTAATTGTTATTAAGCGTGGCTAATCAAACAACATTAATTTTTAGCAGAATTGTCAGATGGTGAAATTATCTGACCGTGTTATCAATCTATAAATTTATGTTATCTAAAGTAATGATTCCAAGCAAGTTAGAAGAGTTTGGTTTCATGTAATGAAAAAACATGAAACATAGGTAATTCCTTTGAATTACTGAATAATCATATTTTGATTATTTTACATGTAATTTTGCAAACAAAACAAAAATATCCTTAATAATATTGTGGCAATAATTGATATAAGTGATTTAAATATATTGATAAACGTACAAATGGTTACATTATAGTTGATGTTTCGTTTGTTTTACCATCATTATCACAATAACCCACAATGTGCACACTGTGGTGATAAATACATATTTATCACAGTGGAAGATGATATGCATTTTGTTGGAAGAGACAGAGAAAGAAACAATCCTCTCTGACTGTTTCTCCACTCAAAGACAAATGTTATCTGATACTTTTGTTCTGAAAAACTTTTAGAATCAGATGAAGAGGTTTTAAAAGAGCAGCAGCTAAAATGAAACATCTCTTAGCTTTCTTAGTTGTTAAATCTTGTTTTATTTAAAATACCTACCAAAGATGGATTTGGCCAACACATAAGTAATGCACATTAACACCACTATCTTTAAAATCCCATAATAAGATGTGATCACTTTGTGGTGACAGATAGAGGAGGAATTTTTATTGCTGGATGTTGATATAAGTCAAGAACTGACACTCAATAGATAATTTCCCTCCACTTATGACTGGAGAAGTAGTACTACAGTTGAAGAAATAAAACCTGGATCGGCTACTGTGCTAGTTTATGTTTTGTGAATATAAAATACCTCCTTAAGTGCTGACAAAGGAGGTCTTAAATCCACGCTGGTGAAAACACAGTATTATGTGTGTTGTGATAGTGAATGGGAACACAGAGAAAAGCCAACATGGCCAGTTAAACACAGCTAAACAGAGGCCACAGATGAACACACAGATAATGTGATCTGCTCAGGCGAGCACACCCAGAGTCTCGCTGAAAATCTGCTGTGCTCTGTGTCATTGTGTGAGTGATAGGTTGTTGGAGAAGCTTTCAGATTTATTTGAAATATTATCATTGTGTTTCATTAGATGATAGCCCTTTCAGATGCTATTTTATTCTGGTAAATCTAGGTGAAAAGAGAGCAGGCTTCATTGCTGCATCTCCTGGCACTGGGTAATATGGATAGCAGTTGAAAGGAGAGCCAGGAATAAGGAGAGGCGAGGCTGTGTTCAACACCTAAACAGGTGATTTTCCGCCACGGTGACTCCTCTCAACACCTCGGCGGGAGGCACAAAATGACAGACCTGGCCTAGCATTTGTACTGATTGCATGTGTTGGAGGAGATAAACAGTGATCTTCCAGTTTGCAGAGCCTGCATGTTAACCATTGTGTTTCGTTCTTTTCATTCCCAGTGAAAAGGGCGTCAAGAGGATTTTCAGCAGCATAGACGACTGTGGTCAGACACACGAGTGTTGTGATGCAGAAATAAACTGGAGTCAATGTATTTGATAAAGAAATGTTTCAATTCAGTTCAAGTAATGTAGAAATATAACACATTCTTCGTGTTGTATAGCAGCAAAACCTTCGCACTGCCTCCATTATATCATGTGACATCGTGTTGTCACCTTAAAGTCGCCACAACTGCCATCACTCTCTGCACTATCATGGTTTAATATAGCCAAATATATGGGGGCTACACAGGGATCAACAAACACAAAATAAATGTCTGTGAGAGGGAAAAAAAGCCTGCAAATTGTTAAAAATGTATCTTTTCGCTTTACGGTATGAAGGGGGGGGGGGGTCTAAACTCTGCCAGGCTCTCTGGTGCCTGTTTGACCATGAGGGTCACCTGGTGCAGCAACCCGTGTAATCTCAGGAATAGAGGGAAAACTAGCGTCCCCGCAAACCGTGGAGAGACCCCTGGAAACCAAAATTGTCTGACACAAACTAACTGGAGTTTATTCTTGGTTTTGCTCTTTTCATGTGGCCATTTGAAACTTAATTGCTTTTTTTGTTCTGGGCCGGCACAGGACAAAAAAAGAGCAAAGATAAATGGACAAAGTAGTGTAGACACTAGCAGGAGGGCAGATTTGTCTACGCTCAGGCTTCAGCGGGCGTGTAAAACTTATTTTCTGCTCATCTATGATTCAACAACGGAGTCCAACATTTATCTAATATATCAGAGAAGAAATGAAAGAGAATATAAAACCAAAGAGAATGATTAAGCAAATTAGTGGTCAGTAATGTTTTAAATTGACAATGAAAGCAGCTATATGTAAACTTTTATCCAGAAAGTGACTGAAACAAACAGCTTTTCCTTTTTTAAAAAGTCTCTCAGATTGATTACAGGTGGAAAATGATAGAAGCTGATGTGAAACGTACCAAAGTCTACATGCTTTACTCCCTTGAATTCAGCCAAAAGTGCGTCAAAGTGGGCCAAACAGTGTAAATCAACAGTCAAGAGCAGTATTGTTTCTGAGAAGAATGTCCTTTATCTCTGGAACAACATGGAAGTTTCCCTCGTTCATCCCGACCCCACATCTCTGTCTCCTCCTGCTCTTTTCCCACTCCGGAGTGAATGTAATCAGCTGTGACATGAGAAAACACGTTCTCTGTCTGTCAGGACTCGGCTAGTCTTCCGCTGACAGTCCTCTGCTGACTCTCCTCCTCCTCCCCCCCAAAAAACGGCCTCTTCCCTACCTCCCTGTCTCCCCTCCCTCACATCCGCTGTGCTCATGAACATCAAAATGCCATTAGGCCCTCCAAAACACCTCTGGTCCCTTGGTTAGCAGGGCTTCGCACTGTGGTCGTGCACTCTGAGCCCTCTGAGCGCCGACTATTGCTCACCACTGGGCCTCTGCTCCAGCCGTTGTGAAAAATAAACCCCAAAAAGAGCCATTCTTGAGGAAAAATATTGGGAAGTGAAAGACGGATAGAACAACTGGGGCAGATAACACCCGGCAAAATACAATAACGCTGCATCCGGTGACGGTCGGACATTGTAATTGCTTAAGGCAGTGGAGGGATGGTGGTGGCAGCGGGTGTGGATGTGGAGGTGGCTGAGGTGGCATGGTGGGTGCTAATGGAGTGATGTCATACGAAACGCCAGAATGACAGCTAGTTAACTGAGGAGGTTTGGCTGATCAAATAAAATGCATTAACTCCAGGAAATGGATATCACGGGCGGCCTC